GGGGACAGAGGGACACAGAGGGACATGGGGGGGACGGAGGGACATGGGGGGACAGAGGGACACCGGGGGATGGAGGGACGTGGGGGGACAATGGGACAGGGGGGAGACAGATGGACATGGAGGACAGAGGGACATGGTCCGAGGCACACAGGGGACAATGGCACCTGGGGGGACACCACGGGACCGGAGGGAACCTCGGAATTTTGGGGGTCGCTCCGGCCGCCTGTCACTCACTGTGTGCTCGGCCCCGCCCACTCGCCTTGGCCACGCCCTTCCCTTGGCCGCGCCTCTTTCCCGCGCTCCGCACTGGCCACGCCCCCTCCCCATTCGTGTCCCCGCCCTGCTGTGACGCGTCGGGCGCTGATTGGCGCAGACGCGCGAGGAGTGGCAGTGGGTGTTCCTGATCGCCGCGCTCGTGCACTACGGGGGCGTGGCCTTCTACGGCGCCTTCGCCTCGGGGGAGCCGCAGCCGTGGGCGGAGCCGCCGCGCGAGGAGGCGGAGCCGCTGGCGCCGGCCGGCGAGGACGACGAGGAGGAGGAGGAGGAGGAAGGAGGAGTGGGACCCCCGGGACCCCCGGGAGGGCCCCCCGCCAGCTACGGCGCCACCGGCACCACCCCGGCTCCCGGGACCCCGCACGAGTGACGCGGGGCGCCCGCAGGGATGCGCTCCGAAGAGGCGACCCCACCCCCCTTCCATCCCCAAGAGCCCCGGGATCCAACGGGGACCCCCGGTCCGAGCCCCCCGAGAGCCCTGAGACCCCCGGGAGCCACCGGGGACCCCCAGTCCGAGTCCCTGAGAGCCCCGAGAACCCCAGGAGCGACCGGGGACCCCCGGTGCGAGAGCCCCGAGAGCCGGGGCCCCTCCGCTGTACATATATAAATACAAGGAGCGACCGCTGGAGAGCCTGGAGTGCTGTACTGGGGACACTGGGAGGGATTCGGATGGTTACTGGGGGCACTGGGAGGGACTGCAGGTACTGGGCGGGGAACTGGGGCAGCACTGGGAGGCCGGGGAGCGGGTCCTGCGCGTACTGGGAGCACCGGGAGGGACTGGGGGCACCGGGAGGGACTGGGGGCACCGGGGGCGTTCCCGCCCCACTTCCGCCCTCAGTGGCGCATCCCGACGCGGCTTCGCGCCCTCTTCGCGTCGTGGCGTCACTTCCGCCCGCCGCTGTCCCCGACGGAAGCGGCGACCCCGCGTGGGGGGCGGGGCCTCTTTGCGAGCGGGCGGCGGCCATGGCGGAGCCGCGGGTGCGGCGCGGCGGCACGGGGGCGGCACGGGGCGGGAGGGGCGCCCGGCCGGGCTCCGCGGGGCTCTGGGATGGGGCCGGGCGCTGCGGGGGGCTGCGGGGAGCGGCGGGCGGGCGGCGGGGGGAGCGCGGGGCGCGGCCACGTGGCGGCCCCGCGGTGCGGCCCGGCCCCGGTGGCGGCGGGGCCTCACCCGGTGCCGCCCGCGCCGCAGGTTCTGGTGATCGACGGGCGCGGGCACCTCCTGGGCCGGCTGGCGGCGATCGTGGCCAAGCAGGTGCTGCTGGGTGAGTGCGGGAGCCTTTCCCGGGGCACACCGGGGGAATCCCGGGACAATCCCGGGGCACCGGGCCCCCCGCGCCGTGATGAGCGCTGTCGGCTGTCGAGTTTAACGACAATGAGAGCTGCCTCCATGCACTACCAGCTGAGCGCGGGGGCACCGGGGGATACTGGGGGTACCGGGCACAGCCGGGGGCACCGGGCTGGGCTGACCGGGCCCGCCGCGCTCTCCGCAGGCCGCCGCGTGGTCGTGGTTCGCTGCGAGGGCATCAACATCTCTGGGAACTTCTACCGCAACAAGCGTGAGTGGCCCGGGGGTCCCGGGTTCGGGAGAAATCCCGGGTTCGGGAG